TCTTTAAACGTAGCCTTTGGTCCCTCTTTCTCCTCCTTTGCCTTCCCCATCCTTCTCCTACTACTCCACCACCACCACCTTCTCCTCCTCCTCCCTCTTCGTCTTCGTCTTAAGCCCTGGTCACTTTTATTATAACAGTGTCACTATTGCTATTCCTATTAATTGTGTTCATGCTTCAGCTGAGGCTTTCTATCTTCTTATATATTGTTTATATATATTCATTATATTTTATATTTCTTCTTCTTCGCTTCCTTCCCCGCTATCCCCTCTCCCTCCTCGCCTCTCTGCACCAATCATACTTAATGGATTCTGGTCATTTATATTGTCTTTAGATGAGATCTCTCTTTTATACTAGCCAACATATAACGCCGACATTACCGCTGAACATCTCCCCACTGCCACTTCCCTGCAAGTTTATTCTGACCACTTGCCCTCTGGCCAAAGCAAACATTGAACGAAAAACAAACCTCTTGCCAATGCATTTAAATCTATAGCCGAGCCAGGCGGACATCAAACTGAACGATGCCAGAATTTTGAAATTAACACCCAGCGATTTCCCAATATCCATTGAAACATGGATCAACATTTTCGATGTTAGGACACGTACCATCACTTTTGATTTGTTTTTTTTTTTTAGTTCATTCCTCGTCTTAGGCTACAAGGATGAAAAGATATAGTTAAAATAAAACTGAATTATGCTTGACAGAAAAAAATCCCTTAAATATGAAAGAATAAAGGACAATTTTGTATTCATTACTAAAAACCCAAAAAGCGTTTCTTTAAAAAGAATATATATATATATATATATATATATATATATCAATGCTTTATATAATATTTATATATATATTTATATATATATATATATTATATTCGTGTGCACTTTAAAAATTTTATAACTTTATTTGTATTTGCGATAAAAATAATCTGTAAAAAATGTTATAAAGTTTAATGTACCTAGTATTAAGTATAGCTAAAATACCTAATATGATTTCAGGCATTTACTGTAAATCATTTGGCAAATGTTTTCCGTGAACTGTAGACTCGTATTACCCTTTGTATTGCTAATGATGGAGGACATGTGGAAACTTAAATAAAATGACAATAAAAACTAAAAAAATATAGATTTACTTCTTTCTAATCCTTTTTGCAAATTATTTCTATCGCAAATAGAAATAAAATTATAATTTTTTAAAGTGAACATTGTTTATCTGTTTTTTACATTTTTATTTTTATTTTTTATTGAAAGAAAAAAAAAAAGGTAAAGTCTGTGTCGCATTAGCGCAGTCGCTTTTTTTACAGGCCACTTCAGTTTATGCTTAATTTTAAATCAATTTCTCCCCCAAACAAGGCGATAAAGCCATTATGACACAATTTTTCCTTTCACTTATTTTTTCATTCGGTATTGAAAGAAATGCTGTCAGGTGGCCGTCCTTAAACTGTGTGAATCTGCACTTGACGCTTCGTTAGAAATCAGCGCACATTATCAATTGATAATTTGAACATTTCCAACAATATTTCATTTATGAGTCAAGTCTAAATGACTCATTAGCAGCTCGAGGAATAATGAGGAATAATGAGGTATCTACTTACAAGGATTCACGAGGTTACATCGTTTTGCCTGAAGATAAAGTCAGAAGTGCAAAGCGAAGACAACCCTGTGTCAGAAGGCGTATTTCTGAAAGAGAAAATCAGTTTAAAATGATGACAACTTTATTCTTTAAGGAGTATCATGCTTTAAGTAGAGTACGAGTTAACTCCTCCTTAATTTCCTAATTATTTACTAGGGCACGCCCTCACTAAACTATAAATACTGGGCGATTTCTTGCCATGTTCTTTTTTTTTTACTTTGCATTTCAGCGGGCATATTTTTTTAAAAAAAATGTGATCTCACGCAGAGATCTGCGTTTTGCCTACTTGTGGGAAAACGGCATGAAACACACACATACACATGCGCGCGCGCACACACATACACTTACGTACGAACATTCACCAAAATACAAACTCTTTACGTTCACACACAAACACAAATACAGATGTCTTTTTGTCCATTGTCAATTGTTTGTTGTTTAATACAAATATTTATTTATTTATATATATATATATATATATATATATATATATATATATATATATATATATATATATCGTTCTTGTTTGTTTTCTTTACATTTTCTTTATGGTGGATTCATTCTCTGAGTCCGCCATATTCTTGTCGTGGACTCTCTTCTACCAGGAGTTACTCACGTGTTCCTAATTTAACAACACGTAAACCCACGATTGGCTACAGGAGCATCAAGTTTTAAAGAACATCATACTTTAAAGATATAATGCTGAAAGGAGTATCATGCTTTAATGAGCATCCTACTCTAAGCATTATTATGCATTAAGGAGCACCCTACTTTAAGGAGTATCAGACTTTAAAGAGTATCATACTTTAAGTATCATACATTTTCGTGATGTAAGGAGTTTAATACTTTAAGTTGTATCATGATTTAAGGAGCATCCTACTTTAAAGAGTATCATAATTTACGGAGTATCATACTTTAAGGTGTATCATGATTTAAGGAGTATCATACTTTAAAGTGTATCATTATTTAAGGAGTATTAACTTTAAGGTGTATCATGATTTAAAGAGTATCATATTTTAAGGAGCACATACCCTGAATATTATCATGCTTAAACGAGCATCATACTTTAAGTTGCGTCATGCGGTAAGGAGTATCATGCTTTAAGGAGTATCATATTTTAAAGAGTATCATACTTTAAGCAGCATCCTGCTTTATAGTGCATCATGCTTTAAAGAGAATCATGCTTTTATGAGTATCATAATTTAAGGAGCATCATGAAGGAGTATCACACTATAAGGAGTATTACCCTTTAAGGATATCAAGTTTTAAGCAGCATTAGACTGCAAAGAGTTTCATAGTTTATGGAGCGTCTTACCCTGAGTTTTATCATGCATTAAGTTGCATCAGACTGTAAAAGGTATCAAGCTTTAAGAAACACCGTGCTTTAAGGAGTATCATACTTTAAGGAGTATCATAATTTAAGGAGTATCATACCCTGAGTATTATTATGCATTAAGTATCCTCCTAATTTAACTTTTCAGATTGTGAAGAGTATCATTCTTTATAAAGCACTATGCTTTTAGGAGTATCATACATTAAGGTGTATCACGATTTAAGGAGTATCATACTTTAAGAAACATCATACATGAGTATTATCATGCATCAAGGAGTATCACACTTTAAATTGCGTCCGATTGTAAGAAGTATCATGCTTTAATTTGCATCATGCTTTAAGGAGCGTCACGTTTTAAGGAGCATCATGCTTTATAAAGCATCATACTTAAAGAGTTTCATACGGTTAAGAATATACAATTTTTGAACTTAATATTGCTTATTTCTTCCCAATTTTTATGTTTACAGTCTAAAATATTCGTATCATTTAAATATTGTTTGCCTGGATAGTAGACATAGTAATTTTTATATTTCAAGAAGAATTTTAGAAGAAAATATATATCCAGAACACAATTAAAAAAAAATAAATGAATCTAAATTTAAAATTCCAAGCGTCCAATCTCCTTCGTCAGCATCCACTTGTCCATGCTTTGAATATTCTAGTGATCTAGTCTGGGACTCCTGCTATATATTTAGAGATTCTTGATAAAATTCAACGAAGAATCAGCAATGTTATTGATCCTTACCTGGCATCTTGCTTTCAGTCACCTTCCCACTGTTGTAATGTAGTTTCACTGTGCATTTTTTATAAATACTTTCATGCTAATTGTTCTGATGAACATTCCTCTATAGTACTAAGACTTTATGAATTTAAGCACAGTATTAGATTGACGCATCATTTTATAGCTGAAATGGCTAGAGGTATCGGTAAGTTCTATGCTAATAGATGCTTCCCCGATGACTAAAATATTAACCTGTTCATGTAACTAGGGTTAACCGTTATCTTCCCTATATATACTGTGCTTCTTACTATGCAAGACACTACCTCGAGTGGCTCACTGAGTTTGTACAGGTTGAACATCATTGTAAACATAAGGATGGAAAATGAATTGAATAGGTACATGAACAATACAAAGACAAGATAGTGCATTATCGCCGGATTAATTCAACTTGTTTTGATTCGTGACTTATTTGGGAGATGTTCCCGCAGTAGGCTGCAGTTTCTTTAACTGTAGACTGGTTGCCACCCAAGGACCCACTATATCATATAATTCAACCAATAGCTTCGCATAAGTTATATGTAAATATGAATGATTAAATAGCAACATCAACCTCTCTGGCCGACATCTAATTAATTTGAACACAATTTTATGGCTTCAACTAAATATATTTTGAGCGTAATGGTATGCCTTCAACTATAGATAATAAATAATAGTAAGGTCTCCTTGAGGGGCACAAGCTTAATAGCAGCAGATAAGCAAATGAAATTGTGTTAATGTCAGACACAGAAGGAAAAAAACAGGGCCTAGAAAGGCTAAAAAAAAGAAAGCAAGATAAAGGGACTCTCTATCAATTGCGAGAACACAGAATGTGTGGTTGTCAGAAAGAAAGAAAAAAAAACAAGATGAGAGCAACGAATTGGAAATGTCAAAATTAAACAAGTCCAGAATTTTAAATATCTGGGAAGTGCTTTAACAGATAACGGACAATATGACACCGAAATCCGAGTTTGCAATGGATTAGCGAAAGATGCCTTCCAAAAGCTAAGCAAAGTGATACGAAAAAAGAAGGACTTTGTTAGAAATAAACAAAAGAGTGCTTAACTGCTAATTAATATCTAAGCTTCAATACAGAAGACGAAGAATCTTGAGGTTCATCGACAAAAAGAAGATATGAATATCCTGGACAGGGCATGTGAGGAAGGAGGAGGTCTTAAGGAAAAAGGAGACAAAAGGTAGGCGTATGTTTAGAATCAGAAGGAGAAAATGGAATATTCTGAGGCAAAAAATGCGCGGGAAAAGAAGGCATGTAAAAGTT